TACAGTAATGATACCTTTACGTCCCCTAATGCTTTACCCTCCCAAAAGGTACTAAGAGATTGAAACCATGTGCTGCTTAAATGAATGCTCTCACGCGGTTAGCAAAGCCATTTTTACACGCTCCTGCAATGCCCATTTGACTCGAAGCCAGAATGTGTTATATAAGCCACAGTATCCATCTCCGGAGATGGAGCCAGGTTTTTCTCCAAAAGGAAAGGTAGAAAAGAGAAAGTAGGTGATTATCATTGTGGTTAAAAGTGGTCTCAATTATTCTTTTAGGTTCTCCTTAAATTACCTGAATGGAGCAAAATAGGCTAGTTGAAACCAAGGAAAGTGGGGGAAGGAAGGAGTGGAATATTTCTGTTGTTTTGGGAGGGGGGGCTTTTGTTTTGAGACAGGGTCTTACTATATTGTTCTAGATAGCCTGGTAGTCATTTTTTTTAGCCCAGATTGGCCTTGCTCTTCTGCCTCAAGCTTTCCAAGCACTAGGATTACTTATTCATTCAACAAACACTGGACACACAGCCCATTAAAAGGCAACTTTAGGCCCTGTAGAAATGTGAAAATTACACAAGAGATCTGTCCTCAGGAGAGTATAATACGGCCACCAATTTAACAGGCATTTGTGTACACAGGGGCACACACACACACACACACACACACACACACACCTGTATTAGTCACTCACAAAGTCATTATCAAAACTTTTGCTACGTAACCTCAGGAGCCAAATGTATCCTGACATGTTTAGAAGAAGTCTCTACCCCAACTTCTGCTACTTGATTCCCCAAACATGGGATCCTCAGAAAATCAGTTCCTGAACTCTGCCAGTCTCCAAACCTGGAACTGAGTGAGGTGGCTAGCAGGATGGTTCTAGCTGTACAGCAAGATACGAACTGTAAGGAGGGGTGTCAAATGCCAAGAAGCTTGGAGGAGGGTGCCATACCTTCCAGTAGTGTACGATTTTATGGGACATGTATTTGAATAGAATATGGGAAGAATATTTTACTACCTCCTACCTTGGAATAACCAGACAATCCTTGTATTTGTTCCTCCCCTGAGTCCATTGTCACCTCTCATGATTCTCAAGTCTCCTGCTTTTGCCCGTGATTACATACTTTCAGCAAAAGGCCCTGCTTTTTACTTGATGGAAGAAAACAAATGAACAAAAACAAAACATCAAAAAAAAAAAAAAACCAAAGGATATAGCTGTGAATGGTTCAATTTTCCTAACTGCCTTTATCTCCCAGTACAAACCCTAATCTTGCTACCTTTCATCCATCTTTAATTCGTTCATATCTCTCTCAAAATAAGTCATATTAGTGACCTCCAGGAAAACATATCCAGAAGGAAATACAAAAATAAATATTTGTATATTTATCATGTGACTTGGCCCACGTGATTATGGAGAGCAAGAAGCCCCATGACCAGCTGCCTACAAACTGGAGAAACAGATACAATCCAGATCAATTTGAAGACCTAAGGACTAGGAGACTACCAGAGCAAACGCTGGAGTTCCAGAACCCAGGAACCAAAAACACGAATATCTGAGAGCAGAGGGGCTCCAAGCTGCCAGAGAAAGCAGTCAATCTTCTGCCTTTTGTTCTGTTTGGGCCTTAATGGATTGGATGATGCCTCTACCAACCACACTGGTGGAGGAGACCCTCCCTTCCTCTAACCTCTTCTTCCCCCCTTGCTCTTCCTTTGTTTTACGATTATTTTTGACTATATTCTTAAAAAAATGTTTTCTTGTATGGGTGCCCTGGCTGCATAGCTTTCTGGCACCATGTGTATTCCTGGTCAGACAAAGGCAATGGATTCCCTAGAGCTGGAGTTGCAGGTGATCGTGAGCTGCCTTGTGGGTGCTGGGAAATGAACCCTGGTTCTTTGAAAGATCAGCCAATGCTCTTAACCACTGAACTATTTCTCCAGACCTATTCTCTGTTTTTGACTTTCTGAGGCAGGGTTTTATCTCATACTCCAGGCTGAGCCATCTATTTCCTAGATTTTTAAAAAAGATATATTTTACTTCTTGTTTTTGTTTTTGCTGAGATAGAGTCTCACTATGTAGTCCCAGCTGGCCTGGAACTCACAAAGTTTCGTGTTTTTAAGTCTTTTATTACACATCTTTTACAGGGATTCAGGTAGGTTGCCAAACCTGCCCAGCATTTACATGGGTTCTGAAAATCTGTAGTCAGTTCCTCACACTTTTGTGGAGAGGATTTTATATACTAAGCCATCTCTCCAGCTACTATCAATAAATCTTCATTTGACTAATGAGTCTGCTTTTTTGAAAATTAAATATATTTAATTCAAAGCATTTAAAGTTAATACCAATATTTAGATTCATTCTTTGTGAGAATTAATACAATTTTAAAGCCTAATAAGATGATGACATTAGGATATAAATGTGTGTGTGTGTGTGTGTGTGTGTGTACCTGTGCCCCTGTGTACATAAATGCCTGTTAAATTGGCACGTGGTCCTAAAAATACCAAAAACTACAGCAGAAATTTATTTAGGAAAATGAAGGAAATTAATACATAATCAGAGTGGGCTGGTGGGAGGAATGTGTGGAAACACACTGGGTTTTGTACTACTATGGATTAAAGAACTTCTTGTGTATATTTATAAAGTAGGTAGCATATTCACAGGGCTAAATTGACCCCTTTCCCTTCCCAAGTCATGTTGGACAGGATTCCTAGTTAAAGTTATTTTTTTCATGATCCTCTTGAAAAATCCACAACAGGGGCAGGTCCTAGTGGCAAATGCCTTTAATCTCAGCACATGGTAGGTGGAAACAGGAGTATGGGACCAACTTTATCTACATAGTGAGTTCCAGGACAGCCAGAGCTACAACAGAATAGAAGGAAGGAAGAAAGGAAGGAAGGAAAGAAAGAAGGAAGGAGACAGAGAAAGAGAGAGAGAGAGACAGAGAGAGAGAGAGAGAGAGAGAGAGAGAGAGAGAGAGAGAGAGAGAGAGGCCCACAATAGGTAGAGGGTGAGGTATATTAAAAAAACACGATGAAGGTGATTTTGTATGAAGTCAGAACTTTTTGAGGATGCAGACCCTTTGCAAGTGTGTATATGTGGCAACTGAGAAAGTTTCATGGAGCCTTAGTTTCTGATATAATGGGAAGAACCTAAGAACAGCTTCAAGGAAGTTTAACAAAGAGGCATTCTGACCACCAGATGACACAGTTACCAAGATACAGTGCAGTTTCCTTGGTTACCCCATCACTCCTTGCCTATCCACTCTCACTTCTCAGCACTTTTCTCATTCCCTGGACTGTGGACTTAAGGGTTCCTACCTGGGAAGCCTGTGTCACCCACTTGTATCAGTAAGAAGAATCCTGTTAATGTGTTTGAAGAAAATGCACACTCCAATAATAAATTTTTAAAAATTAAGGCCATCAAGATGCCTCAGTAGATAAAAGAACTTGCCACCAAACCTGTCGTTCAATTCCTAGGACCCACCAAGGTAGAAGTCTTCTGGCCTCTACACATATTACACACACACACACACACACACACACACACACACACACACACACACACACACGGTAGTATTTTTTTTACAAAATATTATTTTTTCAAGAATTTCATAAATTGTATTCATCCCTTCCGTAACACCTCACAGATTCACTCCACATATCCTACCTATCCAACTTTATGTCTTCATCTTTTTTAAACTATCAAGTCCAGTTTGTCCTGCTCATATACTCTTGGGTGCATGTCTACACAATGGAGCATGGGTGACCCACCAGGGTCCACAGCCTTAAAGGAAAGTAACTGTCCCTCTATTGGCAGCTGTCAACTACCAGCTGTAATCGGCAAGGGGTGAGACTTTGTATCCACCTCCCCACTCCATGCTGGGATTTCATGTAGCCTGAGCTTTCCCAGGTCTTGCCCACACTGTCACATGGCTCTGGGTTCATGTGTGCAACTGCCCCCCAGACAAGAAAAAAAATCCTGTCAAGTTGATTTGGCCAGAGTTTCCCCAACCCAGCCCCTGTTTTCATCTTAACAATGTCCCACCCACTGACCCTCTTCCTTCTTCCTTGTCACTTGTCCTCATTTGTCACCTCTACTCATTAACATAATCCCTGAATAAAATCTGTTCATACCACATAACTGTCTAGCTCTGATTTTTCTCTGATATGTGCAGGAAGGCTACTGGGATCACCAGAGGAACAATAGTACCTCTAAGAGTGACATAACTGGCAAAGAAAGATGTTGAATCGTGATGTAAATTCAGCAGGGGTCTCTGGGTGGGGGGGAATTCTAGGGCTGGAGTGGTCCTTCAGAGTAGCCTTGAGTAAGCCAGGGTCTGGACCTCTGCTCCCTCAACCTCTCCCTCATTAGATGAGATCATGTGGGGAGCGTCTATCCCATGTGCTGGAGTAATATTTGAGGTGTAGTAATTCTCAGAGAACCTGAGGCAATCCTTTTACAAGGACAAATAAAACAAAAACAAATTAGACATTTATGAAACCCTCTCTGTGGTTCTATGACCTCTGCTACCTGACAGCCATGTATCCTGGCAACAGTCTCTGGGCTTTCCACCTAGTTTGCATCATTTTCCCCAGGGTAAGAGCATCACTTTTAATGGGCTCCAGTGTTTCTTACCCTCATGAAAAAAAAAAAAAAAGGTTTGTTTGTTTGCAAAGGGACCCTCTTCCCAGGTAGCAGCCTAGGGATAAAGACCTCCACGTCCATTAGGAAACTCAAGGGGATGTAGATGAAGATGTATATGAGCACTCTCTCCTCTCTGTGTCTCTCTGTCTCTGTCTCTCTGTCTCTGTGTGTGTGTGTGTGTGTGTGTGTGTGTGTGTGTGTGTGTGTGTGTGTATGAGTGTTTGAGCCACAGACTCCTGTTGCCCAAGCTGGCCTTGAACTTGCCCTCCTGCTCCCCACTCCCCTCCAACTCACCAAGGGCTGAGATTACAGGTATGCCCTACCATGCTTCCATTCTGAGTGCTTTAATTTAAACAAACAACACTTTTACATGTAAAAATGTTTTATTGCGCTTTTCATCTGTATTGTTTGTGTGCACACATACCATAGCAAACGTATGAAGAGCAGAGGACAGCTTGTGGCGCTGCCCCTTTATGTAGAGTCCAGGGGTCTAACTCAGGTCATCAGGTTTGCATGGCCACGGGCTTTTATCCAGTAATCCATCTTTCCAGCTCTCAAAAAACCCTTGACAGTATATAGAAAATGATGTTCGGTGGCTTTAATCCACAGACTTGGGGATCATGTCAACTGAATCTGAAAGGCAGACTAGGAAAAGAGAAAAGAAAGAAAGCACTAAGCAAATGCCACCTCCTTCGTCTTTCCCAGCCTCTAGAAATATAAAATGTGCTAATTTTATGGGGTTTTGTTTTTTGATACAGGGTCTCACTACTTAGTGAGTCTTGGCTGGCCTGGAACTTACCAGGTAAAACAGGCTGGTCTCAAACTCACATAGATCTTCCTGCCTCTGCCCTGCAAGTGCTGGGATTAAAGGCCTGTGCCACCATGCCCCAGGAATATTTCTCTTTTAAAATAGGCACTGCTACGTCTGGTATTGTGTTATATCATCATAAAATACATTTTGACAATAGACTTAGCCCAATTACGACTTGTGGTCTTGCCTTGAATAACTCCATCTGAACAAAACCCAAAGTTTTGTTGGGAACTACGGCTAAGGGAAGGCTGTCTGCAGCATGTACCTCAGTCTATGATGGCTCTGTGAGTGGGCCTCCACCACCTCTTTTAGCTTACTGCCAGCCACTTCAAGTTAGCCTCTAGCTCTACCCTGACAGAAGCCATTGAGTTTCCTCAATGGCTTTGCAGTTGCTCTTCTTACCATTTGGAATACCCTCGTCCCCTTGCTAACCCCGTATCTCCCACCCTTCTTGGATTTCTAGCTTTGGGAAACCTTCCCCAATCCCCTCAATGCAACCTGGGTCAGTCACCTCTGACCTGTCCTGGTCCTAGTAGTACCTTGTAGATAGTTGCTCAATAAACAGTGACTGAATGAAAACCACTGATTGCATGAACCTTTTCTTCAGATATGCTGCTTCTTCGAGTCCTCAGATCTTTGTCACTACTCATGCCTTAAAAAACATCCGAAAAAAATGTCTTTCCTCATAGAGGCGTTTAAAGGAGTCCTTAGTACATAAAATATATCTAAATAATGGGATTGAGTTGCTAATAAATTTGAGCCAGAAGCTGTCTTATACGGAATGCAATTTTGTGCAGGCTCAAAAACCCTAACTTGATATTTAATCTCATAATATCCTGTCCCATGGTATCTATGATAAATAATTCTCTTTTGCTTCTGGGCATTTTGCATACATTTTCTTGCTGTCAAATGATCATGTGTGCAGTATAGTGATAGGGACACTTAGAAATGCTAATTTGTATTAGGCTAATACTAGCTGGGTATGTGTACAGAAAATTATTCAAATATAAGCAGCGGGATAGAGGAAAGAGATAAAAGAATATTAAGTAGAAGATAAAATGTAGAAGCATTTTACCCCAGAGCATGGGAAGCAAATACAGGATAATCTCAGGTAGAGCAGGTATTTAGACTTAGACTTAAATAATGTTAATTTACAAAAAGCTTACACCCTCTCTGGTCCATTCTAAACTCTGGCTAAAAAGAAAAAAATCCATTTCTCCAAGTTGCAGGCTTAGCAAGTAGCATCCCACCTTGGAGCAATGTGCCCTGGTCTGACTGATTACAACTCAGAGCCCTTTGAGGCAAATAGGTGGTGGGGACCTCTGGCCCTCTGCTGCCTGACAGGTGTCAGCTAGCACCCCAAAAGAGATGGAAATGTCTATGTGACTCAAGGGTAGAAACTACTCATATCCACAGAATAAGGCTTTAGTGAATAGCAGAGTGCGGCATGTATCGTAAAACAAAGCAAAACGAAGGCTGTAAGTGAAGAAAAGGGTACAAGGAAGGAAAAGAGGGAGAGAAGGAAGAAACTGCAATCTGCAGAGTTAAATGGAGTCTCAAGTTGCTTACACTGTGGTTTCTAGGAAGCCCTGCCTCATTTCTTTGAAATATGACTCAGGCCCTTACCCAGGAGCAATATGTCCTTGTTCTGACAGAACTTTAAAATATTTACTCTGTACTCAGTTCAGGCAAATTCTCCATTCTTTGTCTTGGGCCATCTGCTTTATAGAAGCAAGGTAACTAACTGCCTTGCACACATCCAAGAGAAAAGATTTCATCTTTTCCTGCAGGTAGTTTTTTCTCCCCCACCCCCCACTAGACTACTTGCACTCCCTTGGCTGGCCACTTCCCTGTGGTCCTTGGTTCCCTTGGAACTGCAGCTAAGGATAAGATCTGGGGATGCCTGGGCAGAGGAGGATGGAGCAAGAGGATGTGTTTATTTAACAAAGGTTTGCAGGGCTGTTTTAGCCAAGAATCTTTTTCTATGTTCAAAGTGTCACACCCCTTTTATAACATCAGAACGGGACTTCTGAGGATGCCTAATGCAGTTAAAACAAACCTGCAAGGAAATTATTGGGTTTCCAGCCTTGTGGTCTCTGGGTATGACTATATTCCTCTTTAATTCTCTATGGAGTCTGTTATCATCATAGGCCACCATCAAAATCTGCCTTCCAGAACAGAGTTAATAACGAACTCATTCACACGGGTGCAGTGGCAAAAGAAGAAACTTGCCTCTAAAGCTCTAAAGAGAGTTAGGGTTATTTTGTCTATCTAAGACAATGAGTACTGGCAGGGGGCAGGGTAGGGGTAGAAAGAGAGAGAGAAGGGAAGAGGAGAGGAGGGGATGGGAGAGGAGATTAGAAGGAGAGGAGAGGAAGGTTTGGGGGGACAGGAAACATCTTAGAATCTAAGATATATGTCATAGAATTCAACTTACCAAGAAGAGTAGTTCTTTCTCAGAGTAGTTCTTTCTCAGTCTTGGAAAAGGTTTGTCGATCTTAAAAGAGGGAGAGAGAGAGAGAGAGAGAGAGAGAGAGAGAGAGAGAGAGAGAGAGAGAGAGAGAGAGAGAGAGAGAGAGAGAGAGAGAGAGAGAGAGAGAGAGAGAGAGAATCTCCTGTTTTCAGGACCGAGCTATTAGAAGCACAATCAAATCTACTTTTATTGAGCACTTACTGTGTGCCAAGCACTATACAAGCCATTATCCTTTTATCCTCACATAGGTGTAGAACACCATTCAGGATTCTCTTGACTAATCTGAATTGAAGTGGCATAATTAAAAAGAGTACTTATGGGCTAATAACAAACTGGGAGGTCCAAACACAGGGATGGCTCCTGATGGTGGGACTTGAACAACATCCCCAGAACCTTGTATCCCTGGGATCCATCTTCCTTCCTCTGCTGGCTTTGTCCTCAGGTTCCCTGTAGGGACATGTGGCTGTCTAGCCAACTTGTTCCCAAGAGTTTGTGTTTCAGTAGGAAACAGAGAGCAGCATTCAAGGCCTTGACTTCCTCTTGAGTGCTCAGAAAACTTCTAATTAAAAATAGTCATGGGTCTAGCTCTGAACTGCCCTGTGGCCAGGGACTCTCAGGATTTGTCCTGTCATGAGTTACATCCCCAGATGAAGGTGATTGAGCCACAACCGGACCAGGGGATACATAGAGATGAAGGGAAGAGGATCCCAGATGGAAGTATGGACACGGGCAATAATAAATGTGCACAGCCCATCTACATGTTAGGCTGGATTTGACAGAGGGAAGATACTGGCTCAGGGGCTTTTCATAACTCACCAAAGGTTATTACTAGAAATTTTCAGGACAGAGACATGAATCGTATTTATATATTTAACAACCTACACCTGTTGCTCCATTTATTCAGAGGAAATCTGTTTGATCTTTAAATGAAAACAAAAATACATAATTAGAGTAAATGAATCAAATTTTCCATAATGAAAATCATCTGTGACTTGTCCTGTGAATTTGTTCCAGGAGGCAGGCTAGAAGAAACCCTCTAAGGAGACACAATTGTCTTTCCAATAGTCACTGGCCAAGTTATACTGCCAGGGGAGAGAGCAAGTAGATAGATGTTCCTAAAGATACAGAGGGTGTTTTTAAATCCATCTCTGGGACAGTTTGAACCAAACACTGTGCGGGCTTCAAAAAAAGTAATACATTAGCTGAATTCTTGATGCAATATTTATCTTCTCAGACACTTCATTTGGACCCAGCTGCCTCCTGGAAGGACTTTGAAACAGTCATTTAGAGATGTAGTCACTGTTGAGTTTGTTCTGAATTCTTAACCACAATCATCTATAAGTCAGTTATTGATGACCTTATGATATTGATTTGTACTGATCAAGATAGAGGAAAGCTATGGAACCAGCAGAGTTAGTAGTGGCTGTTAAATAACCAGAGGCTCAGACAAACCATCTATCCTTATGGATTCTTAATTTCTTCAACTATTAAAAATATCTAATTTAGTTTTATGTGTATGGGTGGTTTGCCTGTATGTATGTCTATGTACCATGCAAGTGCCTGGTGTCCTCAGAGACCAGAAGAGAGTGTTGGCTCTCCTGGAACTGGAGTCACAGACAGTTGTGAGCTGCCATGTGGGTGCTGGGAATTGATCCTGGGTCCTCTAGAAGAGCAGCCATTGCTTTTAACTGTTGAGTCATCTCTTCAGCCCCTAAAATAATTGTTTTTGAGTTGAAGTTTCATGTATCCCAGGCTAGCGGATCTCTAATTCTTTGGCCTCCATCTCCCGGATGCTGGGTTTCTAGGATGTGTACTGCTTTTTTCATCTATAAAATCTCTAAGATTATGTTCCCTGTAAGATCTTGTGAAATACAGAGGATGTGACTATTAGTCTTTTTTTTTTTTTTTTTTTTTTTTTTTTTTGGTTTTTATGAGACAGGGTTTCTCTGTATTGTTTTGGAAGTTGTCGATCCAGCCTGGCCTCGAACTCACAGAGATCCGCCTGCCTTTGCCTCCTGGGTGCTGGGATTAAAGGCGTGCGCCACCACCGCCCAGTGACTAGTAGTCTTTTAAAGCATTGTACAAATATGATGTTTTACAATCATCCCAATCCAGGAATCTGAGAAGTCCCCAGTTGCCTTTTCATTTTATCAGGGAACCACAAGGCAACTCTGTAACAAATTGAGTTAGAACTAAAGTCATCAATGGCTGATTTTGACTAGGTAGCAACTGTCTGTTTAATAAGGAAATAATGGCTAGTCACCAAACCAAACACATAAAACACAGCAAAAGAACACCAACATTTTATTGGCTTGAAATTCAAAACAAGAGTGTGATATAGGTGTGACAAGAACTTCTAAGCAAAATAATCCGTTAACAAAACACTGTATGGTCTTACTCTCTCAACAAAGGGAGTTTTGGCATTTGGTTTGTCTGTTTCATTTATTATCTCATACAAGGCACACTAAGGGGTTCCCAGTACTTTATGTCCAGCACCCCAAGTTGATCAAATTGTCTCCACGAACAGCAGCAATTTCAGGAGAAAGACCATAACATAAAGAACAATGTAATTAAGAGCAAACTAAAACAGCACCAACCTGCATGAAGGTCCGGGACCTTCAGATTTCAAGATGAACTACAAAGCTGAGTGGTCACTGTTTGGACAGACAAGTGGTCAGGCCCATGGCCTGGTGAAGGATACAATACTGGTGGCTCATCTGGTCTCCAAAACCTTCCCTGGGATTTTACCTTGCTTTACGAAGGCACAAAAATCTAAACACCTTTGGGCATCTTTAGCCTGATGAACCAAGGCAATGCTTCTTGGGCCTTTTTTGGTCCTTCCTGCTTACTAAACATTGACTGCATACTGCCCACTGCTTGAATGCTGGGGTGTTTATGGAAGCAGAGTGTCCAGGATATTACTTGGTTCCAAGTTCTAAGATTCTCATCTGGAAATTTCACTCTCTGACCTACAGGATCTGTTGGACTAGGACTGGTCTGGAAAGATGGTTCGTTGAGCTGAAGGCTGGCTTGCAGCCTGTCCTTTAGGTGAGGGGTAAGAGTGAGGATAGTTAGGTATTCCAAGCCTGAAGAAAAGCCTGGGTTAGGGAATGCAGGGGAGGCCATGACGCATTTGGAGCATTCCTGTCAGCATCACTGGGCCACAAAATTTGTGTGGCTAGGCAAGTCTTAGAGAGGAGGCTACAGGATAGGCCAGGATCACAATGAATAATGGAGAGGTTGAGGCAGGGGGATTATAAATTCCAGTCTAGACTGGGCTATGTAGCAAGATTGTCTAAAAATAAAAACTAAAAAAAAAGCTTTGATCGTTAGGATAAGACAAAGACATCAAAAGTTTTTGAGTACAGATGTGGTTCGATTAGATGGGCTTTTTGTTTGTTTTGTTTGTTCGAGTGTTTATTTTTGAGATGGGATCTATCTTCCTCTGCCTTGGAATGATAGGATTAAAGGTGTACACCACCAACCACATGTAGCTTAGTTTTTTTGCTTTGTTTTGTTTTTGTTTCTTGAGACGGGGTCTCATTCTACGGCCCCGATTGGCCTGGAAACCACTGTGTAACCCCCCACCCTGTCCTTGCACTAACGGGAACCCTCTTGCCTCAGCCTCACAAATACTAGGGTTACAGTTGTGAGTTATCATGCCCAGTTTCGGATGTACATTTAAATATTCAAGAACAATGTATGGTCAAAACAGAATTTAGAAAATCAGGCTAGATGTGTGTCACATGCCTTTAATCCTAGCACTTGCTGGGAGGATGGGTGGCAGAAGCAGATGTGTCCCTGTGAGTTCCTGGCCAGCTACCATGTCTCAAAAAGTTTTTTTTTAATCAGAAAGTGTGTGTGTGTATGTATATATGTATATATGTATACAGATAATACATTTGTATATTTGTACATATGTATACATATATACATTTGTATATGTATGTCATACTTATTGAATGTAAATGACACATTTTAACTTTTTATGTTTACTTCCTGCTGCTCCAATGTGAACTCCTTAGCTTCTCAGGTTTAAATCAGCGCTCCTAAGAACGCTCTCATTTAAGTCTGACAAAGGCAGGTGAAGTTGAACTTGCAGTGTTTCATTCATTTAAAGCCCTGTGGAAGCCTGAAGAGGGGAAGAGACACTCAGCAGCTCTTCTCCTCCTTCTCTTCTACCCACCAGCTGCTCTGTCCCTACTCAAGTCTCTTGGGCAAGGGGAAGGATTGAGAAGAATGGTGGAGTCATGTGACTGATCCGGTTGTATGGTGTGGCACCTGAACCTTCCAGGGCCTTCTCCCAGGTTGCTTCTTCCTGAGGATTGTTCTCTTTGGCCATATCCTTTTTACATGGCCTGTGGTGGGCTCCTTCCTTCTTGAACATTAAGCCCTGTCTGTTCTAGCTTCTCTAAAGACAACCAGTCATTAGCCCTATTCCCTCAAACTCCAGGAGACACAGGTCAGTGTCTCCAAACGATCCCACTAGATGTCCTTATTTGGTTTAAATGAGGACGTATTGCCCATGACAATGTAGTGATGGACAGGTTATAGTAGACCCCAAGCCACTCCCTGTAAGGGACCTGTCTTTGACTTTTCTTGGAGGATGTGTGCGATTATTTTATTTTAAATTATGAATATGTGTGCATGTGTATGTCTGGGGGTGTATGTACCCATGGAGAGCAGGGGCTTTAGATCCCTTGGAGGTGGAGTTACTGGTTGTGAACCACCTAACAGGGGCATTAGGAATGCCATTCTCGAAAAGTAGAACACAACTCAATGGCTATGCCATCTCTCCAGCCCCCACACTGACTTTTTAAACCTTCCAAAGAATTTTACCAGCTTCTCTTCCATGTACTGAAGGTGGGTGCTGGGCTTCCAGCCCTCTCTGCTCACTCTGCATCCCACTAGTACTCCTTAGTCTGCCAATCCGCAACCCACCATAGCGCATTTGGCTTTGCAGTTTAGAAAACATTAGATGCAATTTTATTTAGAAAATGAAAAGCACCCAAAAATCCCATCATTTTTGTTTGTTTTGTGTTTTCTTTCTCCCTTTGGAAGTGGGGAGAATAAAGAATGAGCATCTGCTCTCATCCTGAGCAGTTTGGTGTGCATCCTTTAAGCTGCCTTTCATGTTTACACAAATAGGTAGAAGAGTCTAACTACTAAGTAGAAGATAATAGGCCATGCTGACTCACAAAACAAAAATTTGACATTTTTCCATTAAGGGTGGAGTTTATACTCCCTCTCCTGGAACTAGGGCATGGCATGCTGTGACTGCTTTGAAGACTGGAATATGGCTTGTGACTTCTGGGGCAAGGTCAGGAGAGGCTGTGAGGCGTTCAGCTTGTTCCCTGGGGGACACTTGAGGCCTGGAGCTACCACAGAACAGACATGACTACCCTGAAGCCATGATATTGGGGGTGTCCCTGAAGATCCACTTCAGCATTGCAGATCAGGGGACAGTTCAAGCATAGGGAGAGGCATCATCCAACCCCAGTGCTTCCTCCTCAGAGCTCAGGTGACACAAAGCCCAGTTACCAAGGGCAGAGAAAAGCCACCCATGCTGTAGCTGCTCAGAATTGGTGGCCCATGGCATCTCCAAGTACAGCAAACTGGTGGCTGCTTTGAGTCAATGTGTTTTAGGGTGGATTGTTACACAGAGACTGTAAATGGAAACAGACATCGATATTCACATTAAGACATTCCTGTACCTGCAACCGGGAAGAGGGAGGAGAGGAGAACAACCTTAGGGGCAGGAAAACAAGGTGGCTGGTGAAACGAAGGTCAAGTTAGGCAGTGGTGGTAGGGAGGAGCGAGAGAGAACCTATGGAGAGGTATTTAGACTGGTACTCCTGACCCACGTGCAAAGTATGAAGCGTGCTAGGTGTGGCGGCACATGTCTGAAATTCTAACACTCGGGAGGCGGAGGTAGGAGGACCAGGCTAAAACTAACCTGAACTAACTAACCTAAACACTCGGGAGGCGGAGGTAGGAGGACCAGGCTAAAAACTAACCTGAACTAACTAACCTAAACTACACGAGAGCCTGACTCCAAAGCACAACACAACAAAACAAAACCTGGTGGCCATGGTGGCACATCCTTACAGCTCAGCAGGAGGATCATGAGTTCGAGCCTAGCTTGGGATCTATAGCTAGATTCCCATCTCAAAAGGTAGGGGAAATGTGGGAGACTAGGCTCTAAGGCAAGAACTTTCGTTTGGTCTGTGAATGCATCACTCCCTCCACACGTGTCTCAGCATTGTGTGTGTGTGTGTGTGTGTGTGTCCACATGTGGTGTTGGCTTTCTTACCCCAGGCTGTGAGTACATGGTTTAGTTTCACAAATGAGATGCTCTGAATGTTAGGATATAGATTATAATAATCAATCTATTTCATTTTATCTTACATACTTACTTAAAAAGCCTCAATCTTAGGAATACAACAAATGCAAAGTGAGGTTTGAAGAGGAACCTTATTATTTTACCCTGTCAATGAACGAGGGACTCCTGGTCAGCCTTGGTGAGACTGGCCTCCTGCAGCCCAGCAGGCAGGTGGGGTGGGAAGGACAGAGTCTACAGACACCACACAAAGATTAAAAACCAAACAAACAATTGTTCACAGCCAGTTTACTAGCAGGTTTTAAGATATATCATGGCAGGCTATAAGGCGATGTGTGTGTGACATATGATTTACATTCTATAAAGCGATTTATTTGCACGTGCACAAATACAGGTTAAGAAAAGACCAGAGGCAGATTTCGACCTTCTATTTTTGCTGCTTTGTTGAGTCCCTTGTGCTTGTTTATGTTTTCCACATACACATTATGAGAAAATGAAACAAACAAACAAAATATGTCCTGCTGGAAATTCTGCAGAGATGGATTGATTGGAACTGCAATACTGTGGAGAGGTTGGAATGTTACAGGTCCAAGGCTAGTAACCATGTCTTGGACTAGTTTTAGCCCTCTGGAACAGCCATTCCTTGACCACCTCTGTATCAGAATTGTTATCTTTTGACTAATAGATAAAAACCCTTTGGAATCTATTAATTTAGTAGACCACTAACTTCCACCAACCCAAAAGTTGTACCTGTCTCTCTGATGTACTCACAATGCTTGTTAGTTTGTTTGTGACAGGGTTTCTCTGGGTAACCTTGACTGTCCTGGAACTCACTCTGCAGCCCAGGCTGGCCTCTTATTCACAGAGATCTGCCTGCTCATGCCTCTGAGTGCTGAGATTAAAGGTGTGTGCCACCTCTGCTTGCTGAACTCAATTAATGCATTTTAAATTAGCCTTGATTTATGACATTCTTTGTTTTGTAAAACTAGAAAACGCTTATGAAACTGCTTATGGAATCCTGGGCCATGGTCACCCTAAAATGGCTCTGGAATAAACTTTCTTGTTGACACCTTTTGATGAGAGCTGTGGTTTTTGTGTCCAAAATTTCATCCATTCTGACCATACTTGGCAGTGTTTCCTGTAGCTTCCATCTTGGGTCACTTGGTGATTCTTTATTTTACCTAGGTGGTCACAGACCCAATAAGGGAGCCCTTTCCACACAGCTGGGTTCCCTTCTGATTCCTTCAGAATTCTTTACTAAACGTTTCTCCACTACTGACCTCATTCTCCAAGTGTCCAGCCTGGACCATGGCCCCATCTTCCTCCAGCCCTCCCTTTGGGGGGTGGGCTGTGGTTTTTAGTAACTAATTTCCTGTGTCTCGATTCACTTTCTGTCTGGTACTCCCTGTACTCTTCCATTTCCTCACTCTCCCCTGACTTCCCCAGCAGATATCAGTTTGATGTTAGAACTGGAGCCGATACACAGTAAACGCATTCACAATATTTGGGGAGTTAATAGCTTCGCACTCACTGGGTTTTTAAAAGAGGCTGCCCAGTTCACATTACCATGTCTCTAATTAGTGATGCTAAAGGTACAATCAAATGCAGATTTTTACATGCTTGAATTTGTGTGCGAATAGGTCACAACCTCTTTTAGCAAAGCAGGAAAAGTTGCCTGTAGCCAGGCGCCATCACTATTAATATCAGATAGAGCAGCAACTAATTCAGTCATGTTGATGGATGCTGAGATGGTGCCCAGACTCCTGCCGTGGGAGTGACTGAGCGGAGAAACCAATTTCCTCCTGGCCTGAAGTGCTCCAGGTCACTCTGGTTACAGAAAAATGGCAAGAGTCAATATGTCTCCTAAGCCAGCTTATCCAGAATGGTGTGTACAACTAAGCAAACAAAACAAAGCAAACAACAATAACAATAGGTGCATGTGGAATCTATGATGTCCCCAAAAATCTACTCTAGTTAAGCAGGGGGTGGGGAAAGAGGAAGGGAGCTAAGGAAACTGCGAAGTGAACCAATTACAAGAGGCTCTGCAAACAAACATTCAGCAGAGGCAGAAATGTGGACCAGCTTCTGAGCTCTAGCCACTGAGTCAACTCAAAGCAAGGCCGCTCCTGTGCTAGGGAATTCATTCCCTGAGGGACTGGTATAACAATTTGAAGGCTTCTCCGTCCCCTCCTATCTCCCCCCCCAATCTCACACCAGAAAGTAAATGCAAGGTTTATATAAGCATCCAAGGATATGAAGACATATTGAGACATCTCTAGGCGTTGTGCATTAAACAAATCTTTGTGAGGACACACTATATGCTCTGTTCCTACTGTGAGGGAAGTTGCAATCTAGGTAGCAAGGGGAATTGGTGCAAATGATAAACACAATCTTCATCAATGAAGTCCTGTGAGAGGGTGGCGGAGAACAAAGAAGGAAGAGTGCCTCTATCTTCATGCCTCACTAAGGGGAGGCGGGCAGAGGATGATGCAGAAGAGGGAAGCTGACAGGGAGGGAGGGGCAGGCAGTGAGGTCTTCAAGGATAATTAGGGACAGAGCCTGTAAGGTGCTAGAGGGGCAGGGACGATGAGCAGGCAGCTAGGGTTCCCACTGAAGGAAGAGCCAATTCTACTTTTTATATCTTGGTGTTCCATTTCTCGTTTTACTCTAAAATGAGAACTGAGTGGAAGCCACATTTTGTAGCCCTTGAAAGTGGAAATGGTACAACCTGACCCATGGCTTTCACACAGTTATTTCCTGGAATCTTAGTTTTCTTAGCCTTTTGGTTTGTCCTTGTCCTACAAGCTAGATCAGAGAAAGGAAAAGAAAAAAGTTAAAGCCAACCCCCGTTAAGTAGTTGGTTTATGTTTTTATAATCTACTTCCAAAGACATTTAGAGGAAACAGTTAATGTATCTGTTGAACTGATTGGGTTAAAATGGCCATGAAGAGGTTGGAAAAGACAAGCTGCATTTCCACCATTTCCTTAGGCTTCGCTCTTCAATTAGCCTGATAATTGGGAGATAAAGTAGAACATGCTACACCCACTTCAAAGAACCCATGCAGGAAAAATACCAGAGAGCTGGCTTTACGCACACACTGCACAAATCAAACTGACTCTCCATGTATTCCTTTAGAACTAATTTTTAAAATGCTAAATGCTTATGGATTAAAATACAGAAGGCATTCACACTCACTCTTCAGAAGTAATCCCAGTCAACAGATTTATGAATCCTCTTCCAATATAAATACGACACAACAGGATATATTGTATCTTGTGGCATCTCGAGAAAGTATCTGTGAGGCTTAAGAGACAAGATATATTAAGAGAGGTAGATGGGAAGATTTAGGGAAAAACTGCTTCCTCTAGTAAGCAGTTAAGTATTTAAGTTGATGTTTATTTGGCATAATTTTGTGGAATACGGCTGGAGGAAATGATGGAAGAAGGAAGATGCTAGCCATGGTGCACGGCCGCAGACAAAATAAAGTACCTTTATTTCGTTTTCTGAGACAAGGTGTGTGTGTGTGTGTGTGTGTGTGTGTGTGTGTGTGTGTGTGTGTGTGTGTGTGTGTGTGTGTAGACGTGTGTGTGTTTGAGTGTAGACCCATATGTTCCGGAACTTGCTCTGTGGACCAGGCTGGCCTCTGCCTCCTGAGTGCTGGGATTAAAGGTGTTGGCCTCCACTGCCTGACTTATTTAAAAGTATCTTGAACATTTCATTGCATCATCTGCACGCTCATCAGTCACTTTCTTTGATAATTACATATAACTTTTACTACATTTAACTCATCTTATATTGATGACATTTAGATTTCCCCATTTCCTCTAAGCATTTTGTGCGCACGCCTGTGTGTGTGTGTGTGCTGATTATAAAAAGAGAGTTTCTGTAAGTTAGACTCATAGGAGGGACAACTCTAGGATGAATGATGGGAATTCTTAAAGTCTAGACAGAAAACTGTCATTGTTTAATACACTATTAATGTGCAGCCCAATGTACAGCTGTAGTTGTGAAGGCAGAGTGCTGTCTTGTGCAATGAATAGTGTGTCTGTGCAACTCAGTATCTGAGGCAGGACAGAAAGTCAGGAAATTAAGGGTACATGGAAAGGAAAGGAACTCATGTCTGATCTTTGCATGGACTCAAAGTCAAAACTCTCCAGGACTAAGGAGATATCTCAGTGGTTAAGAACACGAGTTGCTCTTGCAGAAGACACAGGCTGTTCCTGTGTCCCACACGGCAGCTGGCAATCACCAGTAACTTCAGTTTCAGGGCATCCAATGCCTTCTTTTGACCTCTGTGGGCACTAGCTATGCATGTGTGGGTAGTAGGCGTGTATGTGATACACAGATATGCGTGTGGTGCACAGACATACACACAGGGGAAGCACTCATACATTCAAGAAAATAAATCGTTAAATTCCATCATAAATACATTTGCCATGAAGTTTGCTTTCATAGAAATATTCCTTTTACATGTTTCACTATGAATGTTCAAATCCATCCAGGGAGATGGCTCAGCAGGTAAATGTGCTTGTCTCAAAAGCCTGACACTCTGAATTCAGTCCCTGGAACCCATGTAAAAAGCCAGATGTAGTGGTGTGAATCTGTAACCCAGCTTTCCTGTGGTGAAATGAGAGGTAGAGGCAGGAGAATTGCCCAGAAACTCATAGGCCAGCTATCCAAGAGAACACAGCGCAGCAGCAGAAACAAGGTAAGCTGTCTGCATACGATAGAGAGCAAGCCCCAACTCCTGAAAACCTGGCCTCCATACATGTACCATTGCACCTTGACACTGGAGCCATGACTCTGTAGCTAACAGACACAGACTAGCTCACACACACACACACACACACACACACAGAGACACACACACACACACACAGACACACACACACACAAATACATTTTTTAATGTTAAAATAGCAATGAGCCATGTTTAAGACCCAAATACATATGGCCACATTCCTTCTTGGCTATAAACCTGCAATATTCTGGAAATCTCAGGACACTCACTATAAACTTCATATTTATGAAGTCCTGTCTTAACTCCCTTGTGTAAATCTAGTGTCTGTGGTTTAACCTTACCAACCTCTGATCTCATTCAATTCCCCCTGAAGTACCTGTGAGAAACCCTGTGATCAAGTGAGAAACCTTGTGACCAGTGCAACCAAAATCACATATATGGCTGCTGTTAAGATGCTATGTGCCTTGCTCTTGTGAGAGCAGCCACGCCCATCTCTAACTTTGTACTTTCTTTACCTCAGCAGCTACTTTCCATGAAAGGCAGTGCTTAAATCTATTAGAAATTTTAATCTCCACCTGTGGTTTATGTTGATGAGCCCTGCTCTTTTTTTGTAGTATGATCACATAACAGCTAACCCAGAACATGTTTGAGAGAGAAGGTAGATGGCATTAATTATTATACTGGGTCTACATGCATAAGTCAGGACAATGTAGAGGAGAGTGGAACAATTTCTTTTCCTAATAATTATTAATACAAACACTAATGAAAATAAAAGTCTCTGAAAACTCCAATGGCTCTGTAAACAGCTTAAGAAACTTCAAGTATTTCCCTTCTGGCCTCCAAACCCACTTTCACTTCCACAGAACTGTACTGACAGAGTGTAAGAACCTTCTAGCAATCTGCTTGTTGGAACTTGTGTTAATGGCACAAACAAAACATTTAGTGATGAGTGGGTATAATTAGCTTCTAAATATTTTGTACTATTAAACTTCTCATTTGGAGAAGGGAAATTCTCAAACCAAGGATATAAAACTTTTCATGGAATAAAAACATAATAATGAAAGGGGAGATGTTCTGGAAAATAGTAATAGAACAGTGCCTCAAAAAATTAACTCCCCCCTGCAGCTACCTTCAGCGTCCCCATAAGCACATTCCAGAGCAGCAGACAGGAACATTACAGATCCTGATTCCAAGGTCTGGGGAGGTGCTAGCAGGCCAGATTTCAGGAGCTCCCTGGACTGGTGGTGACTTTTGTGGCTCAATTGAGAACCTGCATTCTGTTTGCCATCAGCTCTGCCAAGGGTTGGCTTGTTTTCTCTGGTTCTTTGTGGACAGTCCAAAGCTCTGGGATACTAGATGTCTCATGGCCGTCTGTGAGTGTGTTCTAGCAAATCGGTCGCTTCTCATTTCCAAGACAGCAGAGAGGGTGGGTGGGCTTATTTGACTGGCTGGCAGGAAGGATCAATTCTTGTTGAAATCTGTGTGGTTTCAAGGGACAACTGGTCACTCCAGATGAAAGAGGAAAGCCTGGTCTGTGTGTGTGTTCCCCACAGCAGCGTTTTCATTCCTTGTTAAGGGTTGGATTCTTTTCTCTACGGGTTATCCCCTGCTCAAGAAGAAAAGCCCTTGATGGGTTAATGAATTGCCTTGCCGGGCATACTGAATCATCTGTCTTGTGTTTCTCACTAAATGAGAAGCTTTAACAGCTCAGGGCTGAGGTGTTGAGAAGCGTGTTTCTAGCTGATAGCAAGCTGTTGAAATTGCCTGGGCCTGTCACCCTACCACCTAAAGGCAATTCCACAGGAGGGTGTTTTCCAAAGCAGTCTTCATATCAGCTTTGTCCACTGGCTATTCATTTAGAAGGCATATTTAACTGCCTAATTGTTCTCCAAGACTTAGTTACTACAGTTTAATGTGTTGAGGTAGCAGCTAGCTACTTTGAGCCTCCTCCCTCAGAAATGGTGACTGGCACAATAGAGAGCAATACCATCACTTTCTTTTCCATTCTTGCTACATTGGTATTTATTTACTGCCTCCCTGTCTCTTTCTGTCTGACTGTGTGTGTGTGTGTGTGTGTGTGTGTGTGTGCATGCATGCATGCGTACGTACCTGCCTGCGTGCACACATACCCATGCTTGCCATAGTGTATGTGTGTGCAGGTTCCAGAGACAGAACTCAGCTTACCAGGCTTGCAGACAGGTTCCTTTATCCACCAAGCCATCTCTTAGACCCCCCCAGGAGCGTTAGTTTCTGACCTAGACTTTGCTTTCATTAAGGCGTTCTTTGGTAAAATACTAGACATAATCCTGTTTTTGTAAATTGGGTATTTTCCTCTGTCAAAAAGCTGAGGTCAGTCTATAGGACCTGACAAAGATGGTTGAGCTGCTAAGTGAAAAACAAACAAACAAAAATGTCCAAATAGTATGCATGGCAGATGCCATTTATATAAAATATGTGGAAATACAGTGCGTGTTAGTCTATGAGTAGAGGAATTGTAAAAGACTATGCATCATATTATTAATAGCTGTTATTCTGGGGGTGGTATTGTCAGGGCTTTTTACTTCCTAAGACAGCTGGAATGCTTGCCTTTTTCACAATAAACGTCTGTTATTTTTCTAATCCAAAAGGGAAGAGGACACCAAAATAAAGTTACTCAGAAGGAGTCAACTGATTTCTTAGTCTTATAACCAAACTGGCTGAACTAACAAAATTCAATAAAAAACAGTTCACCAGTGGAGCATGAACAGTACATGATGCGGAAGGCAGCATGATTACCCATTAAAGAATACTACGTATATGTTTATGATTACTATGTATATGCTTATCCAGGCAGGGGAAGAGGCAAATGTCATAGAAGAATTTTCTCTAGGTTTCTCATGAAAAACAAATTCTTGTTTAAAAATAAACTTGGAGTTGGTGAGATGTCTCAGGGATTAAGAGTCCTCTGTTGTTCTTGCAGGAGGATCTGGGTTTGGTTCCCAGCACCTACCCGATGTCTCATAACTGTCTATAATTCCAGTTCTAGGGAGCCAGTGCCATCTTCTGACCTCTGAGAGCACTAACCACACACCCGATGAACATGCAAATAGTCAAGACAAACATTCACACACATAAAATAGAACCAATAAATCTAAGACAATAAGTGTGTTTGTTGTTTAGTCTGTTTGTGGAACTTTTGTATTTTTTAATTTAAAAAGATCTATTTGCATGTATGTGTCTATGTCTACGTGTGTGCACCCAAGGAGGCCAGAAAAGAGTGTAGGACCCCTTGGAGCTGGAGTTACAGCAGTTGAGAGCCATCTGACGTGCCTGCCTCAGGCTGTTTGAAAAGCAGCACGTGCTTTTAATTGCTGAACCATCTCTCCCACTGTAGAAAATGTGAAGCAAATATGCTGTCTTTTATTAAGAGGTTAAATAAGGCAAAACTTCATCTTAAAAAATTGCAAAGAAACTGCATTGCATGCCTTCAAATTCTTCTGGGGTCAGCAACAAAAAAAAAATGTACTCGGGTGCATTTGGTGCTCAAAATTGCTTTCTGCTAATCAACTGTGCTACTTTAAGT